TAAGGTGGAGATGAGAGAGTGTTTTCTGATTATGGAAAATGTAATTGATTTAAATCATAGCACAGCTGCAAGTTTTGACATGTTCAGAGTATCTTTGCTGTAATATTGCATAAAGAATAGCCCTGCAGTATAAGGCATAAGATACGATGTCTTACTATATTTGAAGTACTTGACAGGGACACTTTTGTAAAGTGCATTGGATAAGAAGTTGGATACAGATCAGATGTAGCCTGTAATTCAAGGTAGAAGCCCTGTTTGGATTCCCCCTCCTTACTTTGTAAATGTTATCTAGCAGTGGTGTAGACTCTGATTTAAAATGGAAATATAAACATGGATGGGATCAGGCTGTAGCAGAGTCTCCAGGCTTGTTTAGGAATAAGTGAGTTTTCCAGAGTAGATATTTGTGTTTGCAATATAGCATACATACAGTGCCCCCAAGGTGGATTTGGGTATGATCCAAGATAATTAAAAATTGGCTTCCACGTATGTTAGCAAATCGCTGTTTAACTTAGGGAAATTAGTTTGGGAGTACAAATAACAGCTGTGCTGTGAGACCTGACCTAAAAGAAACTGTGTTGTACATTCTAGATTCCTTGTTCTTAATTTGTTTAACCTACTTTTCATTCTTTTTCTTGAGACTCAGTGATGCCTGTGGTAAAGGAGATGGATCAGCTCTCTCAAGGGTTTCTTTGCAGCAGATTCTGTTCTGCTTTTTTTTCATAAATATATATATATACATAGTGTATATGTGTGTTTGTGTATTTTCATTATTTTTCTTGATTTTGATTTGATATAATTCTTGATTTATCTTGCAGATTCCTGCACTTCTTGAAAAGGCAAACGAGTCAGAAACAGACTCTGAGGACAATGATGATGGCAGCTCAGAGGGTTCTGATTCAGGTTGTAAAGAATCTGTACATCCCAAAGATAAACCTGCTGAAGTTGGCATGGACAAAAAGGTCAGCTGGCTAGGAATTGTTTATTTTTCCCACCTCTGCTTATATGGCATGAAAAAATCCAAACTTAGTGGTTTTTGCTAATTCTTGTCTGAAACAAGCTGTGGATTTTTCTGTTTGTGGAGAACGAGAGCAGAGGCAGTGAATTTCATGCTTTATTAGTGGTGGTTTCATGTAGAGCAACATGTAACACAGCTCTCTGTAGCCTAGGCAGAGCTGGGAAAGAGGTCTCTACAGGGAATTATAGGGGTACACAAAGCAGAATTTAGTGAGGGCTGGGCAGCTTTTCAGTGCTTCTGGCTACTCTTCCAGGCTTTGGTGTTGGGGTTTGTGATTGTGATCACTGATAAACTTCCTTATGCCCAGGGAACTGAGACCACATGACTTACAGAACTGGAGTCTTGGTGACAGTGTTTGTACCTCAGTGGCTTTTGCAGTACAATTAGTACAGACTGGCTACCTTTGCTGGGGGACAAGAGTTGTAATGCAGTCATGCAAAGCGATCATGGTTAGAGTTTGAGTGGGTTTTTTTTAAGGCTTCATTTTCTAAACTGTAGAACAATTATGCTCAGTTTTGGTGAGGCTCTTCTGCAGAGCATCAATCATAGGTGAGAGCCTTTTGGCAGACTTTTAGGTGCTGTGCAAAAAAAAAAGGTGCAGCTTGCTGGGTTTAAGGGATTCAAGATTTGGGAGTTTGCTGTTAGGTTTTTCTTCTGAGAAAATCTGTCAAATAAAAATACAGTGCTCTACTAGACACTTTCTCCCAGTCTGGAGTTGCTGTCTTTCAGGTATGAAGCAGAGAAGTCTTGGTCACTTCTCATCATTGTTCCCTTTCTTCAAAGGTTGCATGAAAGTGATGTTTTAACTAGTTTGAATTTTGCCTTGTCATTACCCGTGTGTAGGTCTTGGCTCCGCCCCCAACCTATACTTGCTTTTTCTTTTCCCTTAACTATTCTGACTGATGTTTTTTTTGTTTCTTCCTCTTGATAATCTTATTTTTATGTCATGTGTTAAATTAGCTTGTAAATGTCACAACTGATTAACTTGCTCAAAATCCCTCACTCCTTTCTGTCTTTAACTGAATGGTGTTTGATTATTTATAGGAAAGGAAAAAAATGGTTAAAGAAGCCCAAAGAGAAAAGAGAAAAACCAAAATCCCAAAGCATGTGAAGAAGAGGAAAGAAAAGACTGCAAAAATGAAGAAAGGCAAATAAAATCAGCTTTGTCTTGGAGGAAGGGATGATGTATTGTGAATTAGTCAGTCATCATCTTTTTTTCTATTTTAAAAAATTAAAAATCCTTTATTTATATACTTACAATATTAACTATAAGGGTGGTTTTGTTAATAACATGGTGCAATCGTTTGAAGAGTGTATGCCATGGGTTTCTCAATGGGAAAGAATGAGTTTAACACTTGGGCCTGTTAAAATTCTTTACCTGTGCAGGTTTAACTTGTTGTTAAACTCACACTGATTTGGTCCTACATTCTTACTCCCCTGCCTCACATTGCATACAAGCAAGTTTGGTTTGTTCCAGAGCAGTGATTCAGATTCAAAGAGATCCTTGGAGAGGGGAGAATGGCGATTCAAAGGCCCATGCCTTCTTCACAGTACGGGAGCAAACTGAGCAGGCTGTCTTCTGCAGGCTGGCACAGTCACCCCGCAGGCGTCGTGCCTTTGCTGCCTCCCTGTGCTTGCAACACCTTTGATGCTTTCTTACTGGAAGTTGAGTTTTGTGATTTGGGAGGCTGTCCTTATTGCCCAGTACCCTCCTGAACTAATCAGGCAGGTGTACCCAAACAGACAATGCCTGATTATTTTTGTCCTTTTTAATTTTTTTTTTAATATCTTGGATCCCAACATAAGGCACTTTTTCTCTTAAGAGTGTTATTAACCCGCTATTTTGTAAGCTGGTCAAATGCATATTTGCTGTTTAATTGTGCGTGATTAAAGTCAAGGCTGTGTAAAGGCTTGTGGCAAAACCCCTTCATGGTGTGGCTCATCGTTGCCAGACTGTGTTGTGCTAAGATACCCCAGCTCTCAGTTAGGGAGGAGCTGACAAAGATTTACTCATAAGTGATCCACCTGTGCTTGGGCAAAGGTGTCTAAGGACAGACCACCTTGGCAGCTCTTGGCAGCTGCTTTGACCCCCAGGCTGACAAGTGCTGGGAAAGGTGTTCTCCTCCCACAGTAGCCACCAGCTGTCTTTTCCCACTGCCTGCTGTTTCAGAACTCCTTGTGGCAGCACAGAGAAAGGTTCTGATTCCAGTAAATGTCTTGATATGTTCTCCCTTATTAGGGGTGGAGTCGATGCCCTGAGGATCTGTGCTTACAGGACATACATCCTCTGACGACAGAGGACAGGTTTTATCCAACAGTGGATATCCAACAATGATGGGTTGGCTAGGGGCAGGGCCAAGCTTCCCTCTCTCTGCTCCTCACCTTCCACACCCAAAAGAGAGAGCATACTGGCCAATTGCACACGTGGCTGCACTCCCCAGATTGACCTTCACGACCTCTTTGGTGCCTTTGACTAGAAAATCAGTAAGAGGGGAACTGGCCAATGCTTCCAGATCTCTCTCTCTCTCTTTCTCTTCCCTCGCTTTCTCCCTGTCCACACAGGGACTGATACACTCTCACATACAGTAGGCATAGAAGTGTGGACAGTATGGCTGGAGCGTGTTGGGAAGCAAGACTGGTGTTTTATCAGCAAATGGGGATGTTTGTTGGGAGACCAAGATAAAACATCTGCATTTTGGAAATTGGCATTACATCAGTGCCAATGTGCAAGAAAGAGGGCAGCCTCTAACTTGGTAGTGAAAGGACATGCAAGACCAATATCCAGAGATGAGGTCAAACTGGTGGTGGCCATTTGTCTTAACACCAAGGGTTGATCTAAAAGTATGGACGCTTTGTTTCCTGCTTCCCCTTGCCTTTGTGGGAGCTTGCGCAGAGACATAATCAAGCAGAGATGACTGACCTCAGCAATAGCTGACCTGAGCCTGGCTGGTTGTATCGTCGGTGCAGTGCTGAAGGTGACTTAAACAGCAACAGCTTTGTGCACTTGGCCCTTGGAATCCCCTTGTGTTGGGGATTCTTCTGCTGACTGATGGGGCTGTGGTGTGCGCGTCTGCGGTAGCAGCTGTGGTTCATGGAGGAGCATGCACCAGGAAGCGTGTGTAGGGACTAGGGGTTGTGGGTGCAGTGGGGAATTGTGTCCGAGTTGTAGCCTTTCCCCAGTAACAAGCTGTGCACTGGGCAGACCTCGGTGTTTTTGGCGAAATGGGCTAAGTGTAAGTGAATCTCTACGAAGCTGTGTGTGTTTTAATTTTATGTAGCTCAGCTGTGGATGACTCCACCAGGAAACTGGTCCATGGCTGATCAGAGTGAGTCGGGGGTTGTCAGACACAAGAGACAACCACATTTTCTTTGGGGCTGGCTGCTCTGAAGACAAGGATAGGTGCTAGATCTTGGCAAAACGCCTGGAAACCCCAGAGCCAGAATGTGTGTCCAACTGGGGGGTGGGTGTTTACCTCCTTTGCCTGAGAAGACACTTCAGAGAAAGGAGGTTGCTATTATCTGTGCTTGAGGGAAGAGGAAACATCCCAGCCTACATAACCTTGTCTTCCCTCCAGGTCATGCACCACAGCCTGATCAAGTTTTCCTGGCTCTAGCCATCCTGTAGCAGGAAAGTAATCCTGAATCAGTCATTCCAGATTGGACCCTTGCTTGCAGTGATGTGCGGCAGGACTGTCTGTGTGGGCTATGTGAAGCAGGAGCTACCTGCCTCAGGTGTTTGCTCTAGGGTGTGTTTATGTAGTTGAGGTGTTTGCAGGGGACCTGAGGTGGAGCATGCTAGAAAAGCCCATGTTGTGCAAGTGCAGGTGGTGTGGGGATGGCTGTTGCAGTGGGGTATGTCGTTTTCGAGGTGGGCCGTGACTGCAGTTCGTGTGTCCTGGCCATTGCAGGCTTGACACGTATAGAAGTGAGGCAGTCTACAGGAATGGGGTGGGTGGGAGCTTTTTGGGTGAGAATCATGAGTTGGGCCATCTTCCTGGTGATTCCTGAAGCAGGAGAATGGCTGTTGATGAATGCTAGACATAACTATCCAAAGGCTACCAGTCTGATTGGGGTTGGGGAGGATGGGAATGGGATGGCATGACTTTGTATCCTGTGCTAAAGAAAAAGCTTCAAAGTAACATAGATACTCATTTATGTTGTTTTTCCCCCCAGAGATGAGGGTCTGACAAGGCCCACTCTGTTGGCTACAACAGCATGTTTATGCTGTGCCCTGCTGCTGGCACACATGCAGACAGAGAAGTATTGCCAGGGCAGGAATACCAGTTCTGTGTATAAAGAGAACTGCGACAAAACCAGCTCAAAGTAATGCTCCCTCTTTATTTTCCATACTTTCCCCCCGCCCTCGGTTCCCTTCCTCTGCTTCCCAAGATTGTACTTAACGGTAAGGCTCTTGGGTCTCTTGTAAGAGCCTTCTTTGTGGAGCTCACCTGATGTCACACACCACAGACAAACAACCTGGAGAGGTGGGCTGTGGGGTGACTGGTGGGCTGTGGCAACAGGAGATGACCCTGTGGCAGTGAGACTGAACTGTGCGGGTATGATCCCTACCCCTAAGACTTGAGAATTCCCTTCTGTTGACTGCAGACATGGTCCTCCTCTGCTCCACTGCTGATGGGTGTTCCAGTGTCCAAGTGGAGAATCCAGATTACTATTTTTCCCCTTTTGAATAAGAACGTCTTTACTGAACTCAAGGCATAAACTCAGTTGCTTTGGCACTGAGGCTTTTGGAATGTTTCTGCAAGCAGAGCTTTTGATAATTGGCTGGTGTGTTTTTCAAAACACAACTGTTTTGTTATCTGCCTTCTCTGAAAATGGAGTCCAAGTCTGTCAGGCAATCAGAATGAATTTTTGCAGCTGCCAAAGCAGAACTGTCAAATGCTTTTACACCCTTTCTGGCTTAAACCAGGGGAGAGGATTGATTTAAAACAGGCAGTAGAAGGTGCTTTATGGAGAGGGCAGGTTGTGGGTGAGTTGCAGCAGAATGCTGCTTGTGTGTTTGCACTAGTGCAGGTAAGCATGGTCTGAAAATTACTTGCCTAATCTGAAATGCTGTTAACTTATTATTTACGTCTTTATTTAAGAACAGGCTGAGCGTATGAACAACATCAAATTCTCAGGCACAGGTCAGATGCTTGGAAAAATGCATTTCTGTGAATTTGCGGCCAAAAGATTTAGTGGCATTAGAAAGCTTAAATATGTAGAGTGGGAATATTTACAGCTCTGCTGTCAAAGATAAAAATGTACAAAAGCAATTAATCCTATCTTCCAGGGCATTCCCAAGTAGTCCTGTCTTGCAGTCCTCCCCCCATACATCTCCCACAGAGTCCCAGTGAATGACTGGGGACGCAGATACTCCTGGATAAGATATTTAAAGTTCCCAAAAAGTTCTTTAGTGAGGTGTTGGAGTTTTTCAGGGGTTCAACCCCATCTCCCTGAAGTCCCATGGTGCCAGATGGCTGGTTTGTACTCTGAGCAGTAGGCACTAGGCTTCCTCATGGATCCGAGGTCTGTGCCAGACTGGTATTAATTTGTTGCTTCTTCCATGCTATATATTTTATTATATGTAGCAATAGAAGCATTGGAAGGTGGAGTTTTGTGAATGTGGTTTCCCGGTGATGAAGCCAGTAAAACCAGCTTTGCATGAAGGATATGTCTCCTTAGAGGGATTTGATTTCCATGCTGAAATATTTTGATTAAACAATGCAAAACTAGCTGTGGCAGGCTACATGCTTGCTTTTGGCTTGTGTGCTCAGACAAGAGTCACACCTGCGGTCCTTTGAAAGACAAAAGAGGTGAGGCCAACGTTTTCTGAGGACCAATGTGTCCCACAAGTTTTGGTCACAGGTAGTGGAGACGCTGATGATGAGGAGCTGTGAGAGCTGAATTCCAGAATACCAGATTGCTTACTGGTTCTCCAGCTGAACCTTCACCTCCTGTTTTCACCTGCAAAATTGGTCAATTTGATAATGTAAACATGATGCACAGGAGCAGAACAAGGCAGGTGCTTTGTCTCTATGTGTCCTTCAGCCTGAGCTTGTCCCCTGAGGTGCACTTGCAGGATGATAGGGGACCACTGGGGTAGGAAAGGGGTGTTAGGGGTCTCTTGTCTGGTTATGGGGACAGTCTTGTCTGATTATGTCTGTCTTTACCTCTTCCTACTAAGGAAACAAAAGGGTGTTTTGGACACGGTGTGTGAGGGAGGACTTAAAGAAATTTTTTTGTCAGTCTCAATGAACTCCTAAAACATTCTGTGGTAAACAGCTTCACAGATCTCTTAAATGCAAAAAGCAACTCAGAATTTATTTTGAACTTTCTGGGGCATTGCTGTAAAAATAAATACCTAAGTTAATGACTCATTGTTTTTACAGTTGTAATTTTGGTCATTCTCAAATGCTAGTAGACTTTCAAAGCAAAAACGCTGACCCTCTGCCTTAGTATCTCGTTAGTTTTCTGGTCTTGACATGACCTTATGTTCCTTGTGCTAATCTTCCTGTCCTCTAGAGGGAGAAGTAAGTTCTTGCTCAGAGTGTGTTGGAAAGTGTTAAGGCTCCCTTAATATGTGAAAAGTGCTGTTGATGTTTCAATTCTCTGCATAACTTTCTATAAATTTTGATGGATTTGCACATGCACCTACAACTTTTATTTGTTTGGGGTTTTTTCTCTCGAATCTGTAGTTCTTGGACAAAGTTTTATAGTTCGAGGTCATGGGGGCATAATTTGTTCTGGGCCAGGCCGGGCCTGCAGCAGTGGTATTAATGCTGGGTTTAGGAAGAGGTTCTAGATGGCACTTGACAAACACTGAGGAGACTTCTTTCCCCTTGTACATATGAAGGCTCATGGTGAGAATCTAAAAAATGCTAAGGGGGTACTTCTTCAGATGTCCAAATTCACAAGCATAAACACCCATCTTTTGTGTAATGCAATGTTTAGCAATTGTTTTGCCACAATCACTAGCCCTGAAAACAGTTCAAGTTGCTCTTTTTTTCTTCCTTTCCCCACCACCCCAACATGGTTGTTTATTTTCAAAGGACTGACATAAGAACAAACTTGGCCCTTCTTCCTGACATGCAACAGCCTGCCTCCAACCTCTGCAGACTGTGTGGAACTGCAAGCTCTCCTGAGACACGATGTGAATGCTAGACCTAGCCTACAGTAGTGGGTTCAAGGCTATCTCTCTGATCTAGCCCAGAGATCCATGTCTGCTTTGGAGCTTGCAAAGGCCACGAGGCTGGGACTTGCAGTTGGAAGGTATTGCTTGGGGTTTTGTGCATTTATAGTTTCTTTTTTTTTTTTTTTCCTTAAAAAAAAGCAAACAGCAGGCTATGGTTCCAGCAGGTTGCTGCAGAGCAGGATGCAAGATGAACAGTAACCCTTCTCCTGGCATTAGTGCTGGGTAAGGCCTGGCATTAGGGCTAGTGATGGGGACATGAAAGTTTGATCCATAGCTATCTTCTGGAGATCCAGAGTATTTAATTGGCATTCCTGCTCTTAAGCATTATTTTAATCCCTTTACCTACTCTGAGCCTCAACCCTTGAAGCCTGACATGAGCCCTGTGCTCTGGGATGTCACTCCCCTCCCACGCTCAGTCAGGGCTGCTTTTCTGTAGCTGACTGCAGCCCCCCACACATCAGGGCCTGAGGACAGATTTAGTTCTTTCAGTCTGGAGTGCTAGCCCCAGCTCCAACTCTAGCCTTACCCTGAAACAGGAAAGTCCTGTATTCCCCAGACATCATTCTGGGTTGTATGATCAGCACCAGCTGCCATCCCAATCTGCTGGCACCTAAACAAGCAAGAAACAAAGCTGGTTCTGCAGCCCCTTCACTCCATAATCTAAACCGGTGATCAGACAGAGCCAGCAGCTTGCCAAGCTGGTACTGTCCAGAATCAGCCTAGCTTGGTGGTACTTCTAGGATCCAGAAATGAAATTATCTGTGCATTCCTCTCTGTCCCATCCTGGGACTCAGGATGGGCAGCTCTGTAAAGTCTGAGTGGATGTTTGTACTATAAAAAATGATGCTGAATTCTGAGCGGGGAGATATTGCCTGTCTGCCACCAGCACTTCGGTTAGGGGTGTGGGCAGCAGCTCCGAAAAGGTGATATCTTTCTGAATTCTTCACTGTGCAGATTGATGTTTGTACGGTATGTAAGTTACGGTCATCATGTTGGTAAGGTTGCTGTTAACCTACAAATAGTCAAAGCAGGTTGGAGTCAAGGTTTGGAGAGGTAGGGCTGGGTAAGCAGGCTTCTCACTAGATCTAGTGAGGATTGAGTGTCAAATTGAGGTCAGATGTGTTGAGTTGTTTGGCATAAGGTTTGCTCTGAGGTGGTAAGAGGACCGGTTTTTGTCCACATACCAGGGTTCGATTTGGGATGTCCAGAGCCCAGAGAACTGCAAGTTGGCAGGATGAGATGAAGGCTAGTGCTGACTAGAAATGGGGAACAGAGGGCTTCCTGGTTGTTGCTGTTTAAAAGAAAAAGTTTGTGTTCTTGATATAAAGTGTTGCTTTTCATACTTTTATACTTCTGATTAGAGAAGAAACTTGAGGAATTGTTTGTCCTCTGTTCTTGTCAGGTTTCTCATTCCGTGGTCCTCAGAAAGGCATGAGCCTGTGGAGAGTTAAGTGTGCATTTGTTGCAGAGCATTGTGTCTCTTTGGGCTACAAACAGGCCTTTTTGTGGACTTGAGAACTACCACCGTGCATGGTAGACCTCAGATCTGACAGATACTTGGGCCCTTGAGGAAATGTAAGGGGGTAGTACCGTACATGTATGAAACAACTTGCTTTAAACAACTTACTTTGCTCTAATAGTGGTGGATACAGGAAATAGTTGGTCTTTTGGTGGTAGCTCAAGTGCTGGAGCAGCAGGCTGGGTAGCCAAAGCTTGAGGGGAAAGAGCAGTTAAGCAGGAGGAGAAGGGGTTGCCACTTTGTTGTTCTCCATCCCCTTTTGCACTGTTGCTTGTTCTGGACGTTGTCACTGATATATCCACCATGATCTGAGTGCTTTCCAGTCCCCCTGCCTTATTGGTCCAACCTGACTTAAGCTCCTCACCTTTACCATGGAGTACACACCACAACTACATTTGGGGAAAAACAAAGAAACAGCAGGGAGAGCTGGAGACTCTTTTCAGGGCAGTTTTGACTTGTTTGAAAAGCCACTCCCTGTGGGGGTATGTGGTTGAGGTGGCAGATTTGCAGGGACTTGCCTCCATGACATCAGGCATATTGGTGCAGCACAGAGTACGTATCATTATTAGGGATGGGTAGGGACCAGACCAAGGGCTCAATCTTGCTAAAGGCTCAACTCCTGCTGCAGCTGATGGGAGTTGTACTTTAAGGCTGGCTTCGAATGGGGCTGAGGAGTTTTCAGCTGAAGGAGACACAGGGTTTCTTGGTCGTGTCATGTTTTTGATGTACTAGCACATTAGTGTTGATGCAGTAGAAGAAAGTGAGTGGTTCCTCCAAAGTTGTTTTTAAAGCATTTAAAAGAACTGTTCCAAACAATCAGTTGTGTGCTTTTTTCTTTTTCCTGAGCTTCTAAGAATTACTACTTATATCCCTGAAAAAACTGAAAAATAACAAAATACTCTATTTGTAATGATCTCTTTTCAACCATCCAAAGTGATTGCATTAAGATGTAATTCAACATTTTACACATGTTAGGTGGTGGAGAGAAAAGCCAGTCCTGCTCTTTTCCCAGTGTTGAACAAGCTTCAGCCTGCAATGGAAGTTGTTTATTTATTTGAGAGAGAAAAAAGAAGGACAAAATTTGTTATTGCGTAAAGGAGTCAAAAACCAATTTGAACTTGCCTTCAGCGCTGGCTTTCCAAGTACTTCAATATAAAACTTTCCCAAGATCCTGGTAAGTCCCTGTCAAACATGTTTTATGGAATATTTCCTCTCCCACAGGTGAACCAGGAACACTTTCTTGTCATTTTTTTCATTTGGAGAAACCAGTAACAATGCCCACAGTTGCTACTGCAAAGAGATTTCCGCTTAAGTGAACAGAAATGAGATGTAGGCTTTCTGCGACCAGCCAGGCCCTTTTATGGGAAGCCCATCAATTACACTAAGTACTCTGTGGCTGCCTATGGGTTTTGCTGTGCAGAATTAAAGGATTTTTTGTGTGTTTGTATGGGATTAACAATGTTGGTGCTGTTTCCATTGCTCAGTGTATTGTTCTGGGAGATGTTTAATGAGTGCAATTTATTGACGATCAGTGAGGCCGGGTGATGCAATGTTCTGGCTGGGGTGGTGAAGTGTTGGAAATGGGAGCTGAGAGTAATTAAATCAGTTTGGTGTCAAGGCTTAAATAAAAATGAAGTGTGTTTTGATCAAGTCTTGAAGGTAGCTGTTACGACTAAAGCAGCCAGGAGAACCTGTGGTTGTGTACTGAAAGGAAAGGGGACAAATGAGGGAGAAAAATAAAATGATGCAACTGAAATCCTTCAACATGTGGCACAGATTGCATACAGCCATCCACTGGTGTGTGCTGTGCTGTCAGCCATGCATGCCTTTGGGGTGTCAGTGCACCTTGAGCCAGCTCTCACAGTTACATTAGCCAGGGCCGGGAAGGGATGTAAGCTCCCAGACCAGCACAGCAGCTCTTGGAAAAGCCTCCAGTGGGTCATCTCTTCTGGGAGTTTGCTTTTTACACAAGGGACAGTGCAGGCAAAAGACACAAATATTCGTGTGGGAAGGAAGGCACGACAAAACTGTAGCTTGTTAGGAGTGGTTTTACTTCCAGGGTAGCTGTAGCCTCGCATCTCTGAGTGACTCCTGGGCTATTGGATTTGGTAGCATTCATCAAAGTGCACAAGACAAGATGATTGAACTTCTTGTGCTTTGGAGATGAGGCTGTGATGTCCATCCATCTTGTATTCCAGTTTGGCTGGGGACTGTAGTACCATGTAGATAAGTCTAAGAGAAAAGGCTGCAGAGCTCTTTCAGCCTTTCTCAACAGGAAGACCAAAAACCTGAATGAAGCAAATGGCTCGATGGGCATGGGTGAGCAGCTACACAGCTCTGGCCTACCAGGGAGTTTTTTTACAGACTATTTACGGACCAGTTTGGCAGTTGTCAGCATTTGTGGGAGAGGTGAGTGTAAAGGAGTGGTTTAAAGGAGGATGGATATCTAGCGTGACACCTGGAATTCCTCTCATTTGTAAGAGGAGGATGAGCAACCTTTGTGGGCAGGAGATGGACAGCAGGGGATGTACTGTTTCCATTTCAAAAGGAGGATTCCTCTGCATCCCTCTTGCAAGTTACAGTGAAACCATTCCAAATGCTACGGGCCAAATTTTTATTCTCAGTTACACCCATGCAACCTTACTGAAGTCAGCAATTGTCTGTTTTGCAACCATTGCCTGATGCAATAACTTGAGGGTTATGTATCTTACGGGTTCAAGATGTGCTTGCATTCCCAGCATTGTGACAGTGAATAACGCTGGACATGGAATTGCTGTTGCCTGAGTAATTGCTGAAGAATAACTGAGGTCAGTAGTGTTGCATGGTTGTAACTAACTGCACAGGGCAGAGAACACTCGTGCGGTATCTGGGAGTTCATTGGGACCCAGGAGAGACCGACCCATCTCTCCCTCCAGCTGGAATGCCACTTTCCCACATCAGGCACTCCCTTCAGTAATTATACCCTTTTTAGACTCACCCTTTAGCAATTACTTGCCTAAGCCCTGCCTCAAACTGACATCATTGGAAAGTCCAATAAAAATACGGCAAGCTTTCAAACCATCCCAGGAAAGCAGAACGCTGTATTATTAGCAGTATTTCAATGTAGGTGCTTTGTGATGATTTTCTTAACCTTATCTCTTAATAGGAAGAGTTTGAGTTCCCTCACAGCAAACAGCCTCAAGGGTCAGCGAAGTCCCTGTCTCATCTTCAGTGACGTACTGGCCTGAAAGGGCTCCATATCGGTTCCTTTCTTTTTCTTCTTCTTCTTCAGAAGGTACTGAAGACCTTCTTCTGGAAGACCCAATCTTAAGCTTCTCAGACCTCAAAATATTGGCCATTACTAAGTCAGTAGTTGCCTTGGTGCTTGTTTTTCAAAGTATTTCTAAGTTCCTCTTCCTTTCTGTTTTGGTTTTGTTTTGTTTTGTTTTGTTTTTTTAATTTTATTTTCAAGTTGACCACTTATTTGAAAACACAAAGGCATATTCAGGACTTGTACTTGCTCTGGGAGAGAGGGAGGCAACAGTAGCTTTCTTTACTTTTTAAATGAAATTTTTTTTGGAGGGAGGGTGTAATAAAATTCAAATTATTCCATGGATTGGATCCTCTATAAGGACATAAGAAGTTATCACTATTTTTGTTACAGGTAAAGCTGAAAAGTTGAACCTGAATCAGAGCAAATAGTTGAGAGTTTTGAGGGTTTTTTCCATTATGGTCCTGTCTGAACTGGCATACAGCTCATCCGAATGACATCAGATTTTTGGGGGGGTTGGTTTTTTTAATTCTTGGTTTGCATGGGAACAGTACTCCAGAAAAGAATTTTCCAAACAAATAATAAGAAAGGAAACTATGTGCAGAAAAAGTCATGGAAGCTAATTGGAAATTTTGCAGGGAACGATTCCTGCTCTGTAACACCTGATGATGGAAGCATGAGGCTTTGCAATTGTAAACAGATTTTCTTTCCGCCCTGCTTGGCAGTCGCCTTCATTTTTTGGGTGTAACCCTTTCATGTACCCAGCTGCACTCCCCATTCCCACAGCTAGGCATGCTGGGTAAACCTTTTGATCTCACCTTCTAGCCCTTTGCTTGCTTGCATTGTGTTTATTACAACTTTTTCAACTCCTCCGGACCAGGGCGTGATGGATGATCCTGGAGGATCTGCCCTCTAGATCTCTGTGATTGTACTGAGTTGATGGTTTCTCCCTGACAGGTGCAGGCATGTTGATTTAAAACCAAAACAAAACAAAAATCTTTTTAGTAAAGCGAAACCTACCTGGTGTTAACTCCTTCCTCTGCAGTTGTACTCAGGGCAGGAGCGCGGAGGCTTTACTTGGCTTCCACTTCTGCCTCTGACACCACCATCTCTTTGAATTGCAAATGCCTCACGTTGTATTGGCTCTTGTCATTTGGTACCAGCAGTGGCTGTTCCTCCAGAAGTAGGATGCAGCAACCCCTAAGAGCGCTGTAGCTCTTAGCAATGTGCTTCTACTTTTCCATTGTTCTCTGTGGGTTGTTTTGACTTGGTTTTCTGTGGTACTGACCCACTGGCCATGGAAGTCGAGGGGCTTCTCCCAAAGCTTGCAGCAGGCTCTGGGGAGTTGTCAAATCAAACCCTATACTCATGGCAGAGTGAAAGCCCCTGTTAACATATATCTCTGTGCTGTGCCCTGATTGATGCCACACTGTTCAAAAAGGTACTGCTTGTCTTCCCAGCAGCTCCCCTCCCTCTGAACTACAGTGGTATTTGCAGTTGCTGGGCATGTTTACAAAACAAAATAAGTAAAAACAACTGTTTGACTTCCCGCCCCCTGTGTTTTAAATATTTTAAAAACCAGTTATGGACCTCAGGCTCTTGTTTGGAGGTTGTAGCATCACTGAGCTCAGCATGAGCAGACGCTTCTGAAAGATGTGAAATGCTTTCATTCCCTGCATTTGGTATTAAAGAAACCTCTTGATTTCTGAAGTGCTACACATGTACTCCTATCAGGTCCAGGGAAATGCAAGAATAGTGGCACACAGGACACTTTGATATCAGGGAGACCCAAGCACCTTTCCCATTAGCTCTGTGCAGGTGTATTGACAAAACTTTAGTTGTCTGTTGTAAGAGAACATGAAGCCAATTGTCTTTATATAATTTGTTAAGCAATATCGAAAAGCACATTTTAAAAAATAATATATTATCTTGAATGCTTATGCAACTTGGAGTGAGGTGCTTTTTGCATTTTTTGGGTGTGCATGCGTCACTTCAAGCTGATCCTTTCAAAAACCATATTGTGGATTTTTCTTTAATAATGGAGGAGAAAACCAAGTCACGTCCCCAGTCCACCATTTGATGCCTGAGGAGTTTGGATTGAATCGTACATTGAAGGAACATGATATACAAAGCACATGCATCAGCTCAGCTACTTTTTAATCTGTTCCTTGATTTGTCCACACTCAGCAGCTTTTTTTTTGGCTGCAAGAGAAAGCCAGTGCAGTGCTTCAGGCAAAGGCGTCACCCAAGCTACCTTAGTTGATGAAACTAAAGTTGCTTCCTGAGCGTTACTGTCCTGTACATTGTTGGATGAGCTGGCTCTGCATCTGTGGCCAATTTGGATGTCTGCAAGTGATTTACTGTGCTCTGAAATACAGCTGCTTCATGTACAGCATCTGATCTGGGACCACCACTGGGAGCCGTCCTTCCTGAAAGTGAGGGAGAGATTAAAGCCAGCTGAAGAAAAAAGGGGTTATTTTTATGGTCCCTCATGATATTTTTTTTTCATTAATTCTTTTCATAAAAGATGGAAAACTCTAATTCTCCAGCTGATCTCAGCTCCAGTTTTTACGAGTGGTTTCTTCTTGGTAGTGAGCTATTGGGAGAGGGCAGGAAGGCTCACAGAGCCTGTGCAAGGGATTTCAAAATAGGAGTTAAACCAAAACAAAATATTTTTGTGAGTGCTCAGGACTGAAGAATTAGCAGGGGAAGTTCATTGATGATTTGAAGACAGCAGTCCTTCAAGGTCTTGTGAATGGGTGAAACCCCACAGGGACAAGCTGAGAAACAGTGATATTACAGCAGGGATCCCATCTTATTTTTCTCTTATTTTCTCATAGTTATCTGAGGTATACTGACCACCTATCAGAAAGGTTTACTGTCATCATGTTTGTTGGCAGCAAGGGGTGTGTCATGTAGGTACATGCGAAAATATTTGGCATGAATATTATCAATATTCCCTGAAATGTTACTTAGCCAGTGCTTGGATAGCAGTACTTGATACAGTCTACATACAACCTGTGTCACAGGAAAAAGTATGGCCCGTCAAGTAGGAATGTGGGAATTAATACAGGGATTAATACAAATTTTCCTTACACAGACCTTGTGCTGATTTGCAGTGAGGTATAAAATGACTGTCATCAAAGAGGTTGATCAGAAAAAAGTCAATACAAAACGAGGTCAGAAAATATCATGTTTCTTACTTTTCATGAAAACAGATGGTATTTTCCCAACTTCTGAGTCTCTGTAAGAAAAAAACAACAACTATTTTTCATCTCTTTCAGTGAAAATTGTCCTGTGTAAAAATGTGCCATAAATGTCTTTCTTCCAACCACAATTTATTAATGTAAACCTCATGAATCTACTATGTAGGACATATCCAGCTTTGACTATTTAGACAATTTAAAAAAAAAATCCCTTTTGATATTTATTCTGGCTCAGAAGTGAAGATAATATAAATAATGTTAACATGTTTACAAAACTGAACGGTGCTGGCACAAATATGGAAGCATCGTGTAAGAGAAAATCACACGCAAATGTGCAGCACTTAGCATGACAGTCTTAACATTTTTGAAAGAAATTAATATATTTCTTAGTTATTTCCTTTCCAAATTAGTGCATGAGGAGCTGTCCCACAATAATATATCTGACCTGACAATGACTTTGTGGGCACGCGCTTAAGGTTGAGATGTGTGTTTGCAAACTCTCAGTTGGGGGAGGGAGTGCATGGAACAAATGGATCTGTCTCTTGAATATTTCTTGGGCATCGGTGTGTATCTGACCTTTCCTGAATCTGATGAACTTTCCATGCCAGAAGAGCCTGTATTCCACATGTGGACATTGTGCAGCCACTAAGAAAAAGGACATTCCTCAAGCAAGCATGGAAGTGTATTTCCTCTGCAGTTCTGTGTCTGGTACCCCTTAGTGGCTGCTGTTAGGGGTTGAACAACAGGTTAGCCTGAAGGCTGAATGTCTCCAAGACCAAGAAGGGTCAGGTTTCTGCTGGAAGAGGCTGTGCTGCAGATTGCCTGGTACCCCTCTGCTTGTCTGGTTAGTTGTTTGCTCTCTGGGGAAGGGGTGGGACTGGGAAATCAGTTAATACTGACAGTGAATGATTGGACCAGACTTCACTTCAGTCACAGGGAAGCAATGCTCACCAGTGGCAAGTGCAGCACCAGCAAATGTGTCAGGCACTCAAACAACTGGTCTGCTGGGAGAATGAAGCCTTCAGGAGCAATACGATGACTTCTGTGGAGAGCCTCACTGAACTGGGAGATGATGTGATGCTGAAGTCAGCATTTGGGTGGAGTATAAATCCTAATTTTTATAGATACTCGGGTGGATTTGTTGTCCCATGTGTCCATTACACCCATAAATACCTGCATGGTATAATTACTGGAAAAGCAAAGTCAGTTAAAGGGAAAATTATAGAAAGTTATAGTAGGACAAGAAGCTTTCACTAATTGCTATGAGGGATGCCATCCCTGGGGTAAAGCAAAGTGAATGCAGAAGCATGGCTATGAAGGGAAGTCATCAGCAGTGTCTCGCCTCAGCCTGTGCTGTTCAATGTACCTGTAAATGACCAGGGAGAGGGCAAGAGAAAACCTGGGGGTGATTCTGATAGATAGGTAGACAGACAGACAGACAGACAGCTAGCTAGCTGCTGGAGGCTGCCACCAATACCTGTGATAGTAAGGAGAAAGGGGACATGTTCCTGTAGCTCATTCCTGTCTGTGCTCTTTCATGAGGCTCTGTGTAACCACAGCAGCTGGTTTTGCTCTAGTAAGAGCATAGCAGATAGGAAGAGCAAGACATTGCAGTACTTGTTCCTTCATTTATAAATTTAATAGTACTATTTCTTGCATTGTAGAGAGGCTTAAGAAATTTTGAGGGGCCCTTGGGCTGTAGGAGCCTCTTTGCAGAAGAGGACAGGAGCTTAATAGGTGTGTGATAAGCAAAAGTTGGCGGGAGGAAGAAGTATTATGGCTACCCCATGCTGCTATGTGAGATCACGTTGTGGTTCACCTGGAGCTGGGTGGGAGCTGGCACACAGAGTGCCTCATGGAGGAATTACTCAGCATCTTCCCCAGCCAGAGAAGGCTTTCAAATAAGAAAACTGGATGAAATAAATAAATCCAGGAGGCTCAAGCATCTGCTGGAAACTACTCCTTGCCTCTTTGTTCCATGGGAGAAAGGAGGTGAGAGGTAAGAGTAGGACCAGGCTCATAGAGGCAGCATCCTGAAGGATCGATTTTACACACAACTGTGGGTATGGGTCACAGTCACGGGCCTTGCAGCAGAAAGGACTGGACTCTTCCAGCATCCCCTGGAGACACCGTGCTTCCTCATTCATTCTCGAGATGGAAGATAGTGCTGCTTTAACTTGGGCCAGCCAAGAGTGTAGCAGGTCAGGACTGGTTGTAAAACGATGTATTCATCCATACAGAAATGCAACATACTAGTGAAAATAATCTTGTAACAGAAATTCATCTGGCAGCTTAGGAAGAAAAATCTTACTGGGCATTGCAGTGATGGTGTAGGTTTTCTCTCCTTCCCCCTTTTACCTGCTGTGTCACTTGTGATCTCTGCAGGCAAGGGACAATGTTGTGATCTGTCTGCGACATAAAAGATGTTATTCAGTGCTCATTATCAGTATTGTTTGCTTGGATTATATTGTCTTTTGAGGTTGAATACACAATGTATTAAAAAGCACACAGTAATAAAAGGTAACAAATAGTGAAACTACAAATATATTTTGGCCCACTCCTCAACTGCTGTAAATTATGCTGTATGCACTGAAAGCTCCTGATAAAGTACTGCCTTGTTACATGGCATAGTAAAATATGTTTATGCAGGTTTAGGAAGAGACATTAATAAAACTAAGACCATGTGACAGGCCATTTGATAAAGTGGCTTAAAATAAAAAGCTTTCAACAGAGGTATTCGGCAGGATGGGTTTATGAGCTCTCCTCTGCAAAACAGGAAGCTTTGCAGGCTTCCTCCCCATGGGTCCCTGGGGCTGCCTGCAGAGTGAGTCTCCAAATTTTTGAGGGCTAGAGCATGGTCAGAGGTAAGGCAGGATTAAAACCAGAGCTTGTCTGAGAACCGTGTTAAAGGATGACATTTGGCATGGGCAGGAGGAAGCAACACTTAATGTCATTAAATACTACACACCAACTGTGTTGCTTCACGTAGCACACCTTGGCATTGGTTACGGGGCATGAATTGGGCAGTGAGTCCTTCCCTGAGCTTCTTACCTTTCTTCCTTGTCCTGGTATGCTAATGAAAGCCCTGGCCCAGCTCTTTCATCTTGTCCCAGGTTTTCCTTTGTTGATGTGGAAAAGGAGCGGGGGAGGGGGCCTGGACTGCAGAATAAGAGATAAAGGAAGTTTGTTTTCGGCTGAGTCAGAGGACAGTCAGATGAAGAGTTTTCTTTGTAACTTAATAGCTGCATTAATCACTAGGACTGCAGCTACTCCCACTGATGGCTAGAAAAGGGCCTTGGTTTCTTACAACTTTGGTGATACCAATGAGTTCTCTGCAAAAGTGCTCTCCTAGCAGGTGCAATTAGAGTACTTTAATAGGCATGCAAGATGTGGAAAGATTTTAAATTGTCTTGCATTAAACAGCATAACCTCAGCAGGAAAAATCTCTTTATGTATTTTTAGATTAAATGAAATTATTCAGTATAGTATTACTGTAATCAGAGCATCCCTGGGCAACTGGCTAAGAGTAGCTGTTTCTTTAAAGGAAATAAGGTCTGGACTTGGCAGTGTTACTGTTCATTGTTGGACTTGGTGATCTAAGAGGTCCTTTACAAGCTAAATGTTTCTGTCATTCTATGATAATGCTAATGCCTTATCACATTGCATATACTAACATGGAGCTTAACGAGAAGCAATCAGTTTGGTATGGCCTGGATGAAATAATGGGTTGAATTTACAGAAGCCTTTGTCTATGTTTAAACACAAGTGCGTCAGGGTAATGCAAATTTCTCCGTTTTCCTTTAAGGAAGGGAGAGGTAAGATTTCCTTGAGGAACAGTTTATTCCAGAGAAAGGAAGTTCAGCACTTTACTCACTGGATTTTGGCAGGTGCCTGTCACTGAAGATTTTTGAGCTCCTAACTTTCAGCTGGATCCATATCCCTTGGTGCCAAGCAAAGCTTTTCTAAAGTATCCACCTGAAAAACTATAAATCCCAATGAAAACGAATGGAACTGGCTAAGGCATCTTTGGAATGGTAACAAGGTGGAGGAACTAAAGCGACAGATTATTAATGTGTCTGAATGAAAATAGTACAAGAATGGGGGAAAGTGGGCTAGGAGATTACAAACCCCTGAATTACTTACTTCAGTCCTACTCTTCTTGTCAATACTGCCGTCTTTAGACCCCCAAGTGCTGAATTGTCCCAGTTTATTTTTGTGTGGGCGGGCTCAGCCTCTGCCGTGAGCAGGGACACGTTCAGTGCCTCTAGAATCAGTGACTTTACTTCCCCCGCCCCTCGGCATCTCCTGTCAGTGCCTGCATAGGTAGCAGGTTGCAGCAGCAGTGTCAGCGGCTCCCCAGTCCGACCCTCCCTCACCCTCTTTGTCCGGAGCTTACCCTCTCCTACCTGGCCACACTGACAGTTCCCACCTAAAAAAGCCTAAAGGCTTTTCTTTCTGCCCTGTGTTTACTGGAGCTACGTAATGTCTACAGTATGCACAGCACATAGGCTTCAGTTTCTATTTATCTGTTTGGCTAGACCACATGAGTTTTTACATCCCCCTGTAAAAGTTACATCTTCTCAATCTCCCTAAGTCTCACAGATGAATACATGCAATCCCACCCACTCCCAGCACCACACTGGCAGTGCAGGCATTGCTCCTATCCAGCTGTTGCTGCAGGGTCTGTTTTATGCCACCATAGGCTTTTTTTTTTTTTTTTTCTTCCCCACCTCTCTCTCTCTCTCTCCTTTTTTGTTGCTGGCACTGTGATTGCCAACCTGGCCAGTCATTTTCAGTCCAGAAGGCAACTGAGTACTGGGGAGGAGCTGGAGGGTGTGCAGACAGAGAGTAGCATGCATTTCTGGCTCTCTGGTGCAACACTGTGGCAGGGCAGACCTGTAGCTGCCAAGGGCAGGGGTCATTTCCTCAAGTGTGGAAGGCGAAAAGCTGAGTGGATCCTTGTTCTAAAGCACTCCCTCTCTACTGGTTGGCCATGTGGGTTTATTTTCTATCTTTATTGTGGTCCCTCTATAATTGCAGCTTGCCAGACCTGTAAAAATAGTACCTCATGCTCTCTGCAGGTCTAACTTGCAGCCATCGGTGGCAGAAGCAACACAGGCAGCCTTCCAGTGGCATGTTCCTACCTGTAACTCAGTGTGAATGATGGTTTATTGATAGTGAGGGGATGGGGGGGGTGGAACCTGCCTGCCTCCCACACCCATTGCTCTGTGCCAGAACAGCTTCATGGGAGCTGGGAGCTGTGTCAGGGATGTGAGAGGCAAATTCTCCCCTCCTAGCCCAGGACAAGGGCCTGGCCTTTGAAAAGCTCAGACATAGTGTAGCTTCGGAAAAAAATGGGAAATAGGTTGCCTTGGGGGTGTTTGGCTTGCATATTCATGTGGCTTTTTTTTGTTTTGAGACCAAAAACTACTGGCTGGTCAGGGTGAAAGTCTTTCACATCTAAATGTGTGATGGAAATGCCTGTGGAATAGGCTTGGAAGACATGGAAACTTGCAACCTGCATTTCTATTCTTTGCAAGTTTACTCTGTAGGTCCTGAAACATTGCCTACTAGAGATTCTGGAAGATTCCCTCCAAAAGATGGATTTCTAGCTGTTGACTAGAAATCAGATCACTTCTCATTGGTATAGAGGGGAAAATAATTCATTTTCTTCTCTTAAAAAGCAAATTGTTCTTAGCATTGTTACAATCATATTTATCAGGGCATTATCCAAACTTTTCCTATTTTCACAAGAAATATTTCTTTATGAAGACCCCTGCCAGGGGGAGAGTGCTGGAGCTAGATAACAAGCGAAGTCCAGCAAAAGTTGGAGCCTCTCTGCTCCTTTCCACATTGAATTTGCTCACCTCAGCTCTCTACTTTCCACACTGACGTACATTCCTAGCCTCGCTATTTCACGTGGAGTTGATGGTAAATAGTGTTACTCCAGGAATCATATGAAGAAGGAAGGTGGGCTGCAGCCAGCATAGCCAGGACATATATAGACATGAAGGAGATAAAGCCACACATTATTTGCAAGCAGCAATTTCTGATATCCAGTGGGTAGCTGCAGTGCAGCAAATCCATTCCTTGTCCACAGCCACTGATATCAACAGATTTAAATGCAAGATGTGTTTGGCTCAGTGGGTGGAATCGAACATTTATCTAATCTGGTCTTTTTCAAATGAGCGTCCAGGATCACAGGTTGCAGAGAGAGGTCACTGTCCTCCCTGGACCTCCCAAGCAAGCTACAGGAACCTGGGGAGCAGGGTAGGGGCCTCAGCTCTCCCAGGTGACGTGAGAGAGGGCAGAGGGCCTCATCCTTACCTCCTTCTCATGCCTTTTAATCAGCCAGAACTCAAACAATCTTATTGAGGACTGGGGTCATTTTCATTTCCTGGGTTGGAGGGTGGAGACTTGCCTGTATTTTCCAGTTCTTTAGGAGGTGTGAAGACAACAGATACAACACAAGAGACCCCAAATGGATCATGCTGTAAAAAGAAAGGTAAGTTGTCTTACCTTAAGACTGCACCTTAGAAACATAGCAAACTCATAATCCAAAAAGGCGTTTTTGTGCCAAATTCTTCTATGTAAGCAATAAACCTGTTTCATTCATAAATCAAATATTTGTGCAGGCTGCATGTTTGTGCAAACTGAGCTTATACACCAGTCACTAAAATTAGTCTCCAGTTCTTTTGCATCTCAGGAGACCTTGTTTCTATTCTGCATAAATGGAAGCACTAAAAATTATGCCTGCAATGTGGATGTACACTTACATTTGTTAGTCTAAGCTGAGATTTAGATATAAGAATACCTAGCTGGTGCCAGACAGTACCTAATCTTATACTAAGTCCTCCAAGGTACCATAGGCATGGAGTGCTAATTCTCAGGCTATGAAAGATGAAATTAATTTCCTTTTCTTCTATTAATCAGAGGAGACCAGGTCAAGCAGTTAATTCTCCACACCACTCTTGGCCCACAAGAGGCTGAGTGTGCATCAACAATGAGCAAGTCCAGCTCATTTTGGAGCTCAGGAGAGACAGGAGTTTGCTTCCCACTGATGGGATGATGAATGCAATGGAAAATCCTGCTTGTTTCAGCCAGAGCTCCTGGAGGCAAAGGGACCGTGCTGCAGGAGGACCTCCATGAGGATTTCTTGGTTTTGGCCATGCTCCATCTTACCCCTCCTCTTTTCAGAAGGTAAGTTTGGCATGAGCCAGTTTTCCGGTGTGCCAGGCCTCCCTCAGGATATGCTGGCTGGCAGGGTTGTGAGAGGAGGGAAAAGGCACAGCAGCTCTCTCTTGTTGAGGCAGCACCACTTGAATGAAGCACGCCTGAAAAATTCTTGACTTATTAGCTGCAGCAAGATAAAAGGCGTATTTTGTGAAAGTAATACATTCCAGCATTTCACGTGCAAGTCAGGAGATGGACAACATGTATATGAGCACATGATCTGTTTGTTTGAGTCCATCTTTAAGTCTATAAGATCAAATGTTTGTTATTTACACAATGCTTAATAAGAGACCTTGAGACCATCCTACCTGGCTACGAGCCATGTAGTGGGGGTGCGATATGCTTGGTTATTTTGCTGTGGTTTTCTCTTTTGTTGAAAGACATTTTTTAGAGTGTGCTGTTTTCCGAGGTGAGATGCAAGATGCAGGACTAGAACTGTGGTAGCTGGGATGATTTAAGGATAAAAGAGAAACAAGATTTGTTAAAAGACTAAAAGTCTTTTGTCAGGTCAAGTAATGAGGCTGGAAAGATAGACAAGATTTCCACCTCAGTATCCCTTTATCATGGCTCTTTTTTTCCCCACCTAAGCTTTCCCAGCTGGTCCCATACAAGGTGCAACTTCTCCCATAGCAAGGCAGGACTGCATGCTAATCCAGGGATAGGATTAAACTGTCAGCTTCATAGACCATGATACTTTGAGGAGGGTCTTTCCCCTGAAGCTCTTAACCACCCTTGTCATACAGTCATTTGAAGTAAAATTGGGATTGCCTATCTTTCCAAGAGTTATGCTTTAACTCAGCCACATAATATAGGTTTGATTCAAGATTAGATTTACAAGGTGAGATTACATAGTTTGTCCTGTGCCAGGGATTAATTATATTATTGAACCAGTTCCTTCTGGCTTTAAAATGTTCATCTCTGTGAAAAGTAGCCATCTGTTTTCAGCTATGGCTGTATGCAGGGTAGGCCATGACCTAAAAAACCATCTCTGTTACCTCTCTTTCAGCCTCTTTCGTGCTGTCATATCCATCTGTTTATTGTGTTAGCTGTTTTTCTGCAAGGGGGTGGTTCGCTGATCTCCTGGCAGAGTCTGAGGGCTTTCACAGTTGAGAAGAAGGCGTGGAAAAAATATCCTTTACCTGAAGCAAATTGAGATTCCTGCAGTTGCAGGGCTGGCAGTCCACTGCTCTCTTTTGCTGGAGGCACGAGCTGCACGTTTGCAAGCTGTGGAGGCTGTGGGATCCTGGGTCTCTGTAAACTTGCTGGGTTTCATGCAGCAATCAAGTCTGCTTTTAGCTCTGTGCCCGCCCATTGCTTCTGAATCTCCAAGTTGCATTCCAAGGTTTTGTGTTGCTTGCTTAACTGTGCTAAGGCTCAAGCTGTACCACAGTTCTAACGAAGTAAATCCTTAGTATAGGGTTGAGCTGCCCTCTGCTAAAAATATATTACATTCATAGAAAACGTGTACATTGCAAGCAGAAATATGTTGTGTTGCTCCTTTCTGCAAGAAGGAGCCTCTCCTTGTGGGTATTAAAGAGAGAGAGAATGTCAAAAGGTCTGGGGAGGTACAATCTGAGACATGGAAAGTTTCTCTTGAATCCTTTAAAAAAAGGACAAAATGTGTTCTTTTAACAGAAACCATCTTTATTTAAAACTTGTAGGAAAAATTAAAATGGTATTTCCTCAAACCCTTGCTTCTTGTCATGGATTATCCTGAGTGCATCTATTGCTGAAGTCACCCTTCCTTCATACCACGATGCCCCTCACAATCCTGCTCTGCAGGTTTTCCTGTCTCTCTGCACTGAGTTTGGAGCCTCTTGCTTTAACAAGTAATGCCCTTCCTGACCCCCTGTCTCTGTATCTCCTCACGCATTCCTTCCTTATCTTGCTCTCACGCTGCTCCAGATTCCCTCCTGACCATAGACCATACCATGTGCGTTTAACAGAGCCCAGCTTGGTGCCTTCTAACAAAACTGGCTTTCATCCTGACACTGCGTCATATGACCTTCCTCTCTTTTTTCCAAAACCTTCTGTATATGTGTGGACCCTTTAAACGTCGGCATCTGAAATGTTTCTCCATCCATCTCCGTATTTGTAAGTCTGTTTATACGATCAATGTTTATATTACGTAGCTGTTATGCTCTTCTGAATCTGTTCTGCCTCTATTTTGCCTAGACTGTGGTGAACTTTGGGCAAAGGCTCTTCTGTGCACATTTATAAATCGTTAAATACACTGTTGATGCTAAATATTTCAATATATTATATTATTTCAATATAATAAAATATATTTCAATATATGTTCAAACAAGAATATGATTCATCTTTGAAAGGACTTAGAAATTAATTTTATATGTGGAAGCAGCTTAAGAAAAATCTGTGGGGTGAGAGTTTAGTCAATAAAGTCAATGGGAATTCTGCCACGGGCTGTTTTTGAGTACAGTCTCACAATTATTGTTGTCCCATTGCAGGTTTAGGTTATTAGTTTGCTTTGTCTTTATTTCTATATAAATAAATATTGTCTGTATAAAGTTCCCTTGCTTTCTTAAGTGTTGCACATTCAAATGTCTCCTGGGTTTGTAAATTTGTAAATATGACTACATTTTGCTTGTTAAAATGATGTGACCTCACTGAAGCCTAATTTTTTCCCCAAATGGATCAGATAGGGCAACACCGCCTCTTTCAGGGTGATATTCAGCTCCAAGGACAGAAGACTCTGAAATACGCCGAATGTGTGTTGCTTTAATGCTTCTGCCTAAATATGTGGTGCTGTTGCAAATTTCAGCCCTGTAGAAACCCTATTGTTTATCAACGTGAGAGATTCCACCCCAAACAGTAATTAGAGCAAAGCTCATGTCATAAATCCGCTGGCATCCCAAGTGAAGAGGGTGTTCTCTGGAAATGGAGGTTATCTCTTCCTTTTGCTGCTGGTCCTTTGAACTTCTTGTGGTCAGGGAATCCTTCTGGTTTCAGCTAGAATAACAATTATGAAACTATGCCTGCTCTCCTGGCCGGAGTTCATGTCTAATTAACTTTAACAGGAGTCATAATTTTAAGAGTGATTTCTCAAAAGCGTTATAACTCAAGACAATTAAGGCTTGAGAGAGAGCGCGCGAGACAGGGAGGGGAGGAAAACAGAGGCACTCCTTGGGGCAGGGCACTTCATGCGTATTAAACAGATGTGACTCATTCCTGCCTCTAGTCCCAGCAGAAGTAATACCTTTTGAATAAGTTCTGCGTGCTAGATAAAAACTTGTTTGCTGGTGCAAAAATTGTATCACGCATGTTAGAACAAGCACCCTGATGGGCTACTCCCATCAAAACCAAGGGCACACGGCAGTGGATTTTTCAGTATGCTGGTGTAAATTTGACACTGGATTTTTAGCTATGGAAACTTGTCAAAATCTGCAGAAAAAGGGGATAAAGGGGAAGGAAATGCAGACCAACGAACAAATGAGTGAATGAATTCAGTTGCCCTTCTGGAGCAGGATGTTTTTATTCTCATTGTTCATGAAATATGTAGTAGTGCATATAGAATGCACCCATCAGCCAATTTGATAGGCAAAACCTGATCTTCTTTAGGACATGTGAAACTAGAAAGGAGCTTATAGCAATGCAGAACATGAAAATGCTGGGGACCTCTAGGTCTGACTTTTTGTGTGTTTATTTAAAAGTAGCTCTGCCTGCATTAATGTATATATGACAGGTATTATCTTAAGCCGGGACATCCCACAGACCTCTCACAGGCATAATGCTAAGGAGTACAGCGTCTCCATGTACGAAGGATCCAGCCTTCAGTGAACATACAGAAAAACAGAAACCAGGTTTTATGACAGAAATCTGAAATGTTTGTTGTTTGTTTGAAATCTGAAATGGTTGTAGGGAAATCTCCTGCTGCTGCTACAGGAGTGATCCCTTTCTTTACTAGTGGTTTGAGAATTCCAAAGAAAACAGGGGTTTTTTAGCACAAATCAGAGCAAGATTAGTCGAAGGGGCAGTTAAAACAGAGTCAGCCAACATACACAAAATCCTAACTGGTGTTGCTGCAGAGGTACTGTTGCTAAAACAACAGTGGACCATTTCGGTTAAGGACTATATCCACAGAGGGGATGCAAGATCCTTAGGGAGGGTGAGGAGGCGGTGACAGGAGGGACAGCTGATGTCATGCATCACTGCACTGATTATCATCTGCCACTCAGTGCATGTCCACACACCAGCTGAAGGTGCAGCATGGGTGGACTCCACTGGGCTTTGTTTAGTGGCGCCAGCTCAGGTGGTAATGGCAGTGTCACGACAGCAATGCAGTATCAGCATGTAGCTGCCTGAGACCTCAGAGGCACATTCTGGTCATCAGCCATGCTAAATCCCTGCTGCTGGAGTGACATGGCTGTTGGCATTTGGTTGAAACTATCCCCCAGGCTTCTTGCCTGATCGTGGGCAACCCCACAGGTGGGTAGTGAGCCCCAAGGGTGGGTTGCAGGCTGCCTCTGGTACAGTGCAATCACACGTGGGCCCTGCATGCAGCATTCCTCTAGCCAGGAAACAGAAATACATTCTCCCTTAAAAATACTGAGCAGTCACAGTACAACGGCAGGTTTCTTCCATCCACTCTTTGTGGTAATAGTCTCCTTCCTTCCTGAGAAATCTTCAATTTTAGCCATTACGTGCTGCACCTCCTTCAGCTGTTCCCACAGCTTCCCCTGGAGCAGCCTTCCGGTAGCCCTGCATAAAACTGCTCATCTGCTCCAGATGAAGCACCACAGCAAAATGAATATCTCAGTATGACAAGAGACTGCAAGTGAGCCTACACAGTCCGTGGTCTGCTTGGAAAGTAAACCCTGACCGCCTTGGGAAGAAAAGTCTGACCTACCAAGCAGTGGAACACCTTGTGTTCTTGGAGCTGGGACTTGGGAATTTTGTGCCCTCTGGGAGGGAGCGAGTGGATTTTCTCAATGTAGGAGCCTGGGGAC